AAGATCTGTAATAGAAAAGAACTTTTTTGTCCTATAGTTTTCCCTCTGTCTCGCCTGTAAACCTCTTTGAATAAATAGTTACAGATTTATAAATATTTTGTTCAAGGCCATCAACATAAATGCTAATAATGAATAAATCCAGTGAACTCATAGTAGGATGAATTCTATAAAATGACAAGAGAAGTCAGTGATACTTTTTGTCAGTGCCTCGATGCTTCATTGATTTAGGAGTGAGTAGAAATTGTTGGTAGCTACAGTAGTATCAGAACTCATTTGCCGATCAAATGCAAAATGAAACAAAATGGACAAATATTTGAGAAAGTGGTTTCTTGGTGTTTAATTAAGAGAATCCTATTCTGGAATAGGATTCCAAGAGTGATTCCAAGAATCGATTCGGATATTTTTAAATTCATTTCAAGGAATAGTTCCCTTAATTGAAAAGTGTATGACCTACGTCAGAGACCTATATTTGAACTCCTCTGCCCTTCAGAGTGCAGCTTTCTTATCTAGTACTTTACTTGGTTCTCAGGATACCTCCCTAATGGTAGGCAGGGCACTCGAGATACACTGTTTCACAAAGGAGTTAACCAAAAGAGGAAGGCAGCAAAAAGCAAGGCCAAGGTCACAGAGCTGATAAATGGGATAATCAGGATTTGAATCCAAATCATTTGGCTCTAGATATTTCTAATGCATTGTGTTGCCTTTCCTACTTGAAACTACAACGATTGTAATGGTGATCACCACTGAGATAATTCAAATAAAGATAGTTTATCTGGGCCCTAAATTATGCAGGTAGCAGACTGGAGATTTTTTGGTTGCTTTGCAAATTGAGACATGACCTGAGCGTCACTGAGGAAAAAAAAAAAAAAAAACAATGAAAACTATGCTTCTAAAAATGCCCCTCAATCGGGGTGACTACCTTTGCCCCTTATTTCTCAAATCTGTAACCTAAGAAATGTTTTTTGAGCCAAGAGTTCCCCAAATGTTCTTTGTTAAGAAATATAATCATTCCTGGGTGGCGCAGCGGTTTGGCGCCTGTCTTTGGCCCGGGGCGCGATCCTGGAGACCCGGGGTCGAATCCCACGTCGGGCTCCCGGTGCATGGAGCCTGCTTCTCCCTCTGCCTGTGTCTCTGCCTCTCTGTCTCTCTCTGTGTGACTATCATGAATAAATAAATAAAATCTTTAAAAAAAAAAGAAATATCATCATTCCTCAGAAATAGAGATTTCATGAATTCTTCATATCTTGTTATATTTCATATTATTTTGAGCAGGACTAAAGAATCTAAAGTCCTTGATTCTTCTCCCTAGTGATGTATTAGGTGTATTTTAATGATATTAAAAGTATATTCAACTGTACCTACTGTATCATAGGCTTTCTCTCTCCTTAGTTATCTGAGGTAAGGTTGTAAACATTCCTAATATACCTAAATACACAAACATATAAGATAGTCATGGTATTATTAGTTTTTTAAAAAGATTTATTTATTTAGGAGGGGGGGTAAGGGGCAGATGAAGAGGGAGAGAGAGACTTAAGCAGACTCCATGCTGAGCGCAGAGCCTAACATAGGGTTTGATCTCAGGACCCTGAGATCACGACCTGAGCCAAAACCAAGAATTGAGTGCTCAACTGATAGAGCCACCTCAGTGCCCCATTATTATTAAATTTAAGTGAAACTTTTAGAGGGGTAGATTTCTTACCATATGAGATCAGTTTGTTTACGTGTGACCACTTTTCAGGGATGTGATCTGTGGGTGTATGTATATTTCTGCTCCAGACGTGCTATTAAATATCTATCAATTATTTCTTGAATTAAAAAAAAATATTTCTTGAATTCAGCATGAATATGCCCAAAGTGTTTTACTGATTAAAGAGTTAACCTGATGTAGAAAATGTATCCATGCAAAGCCCCTCCTATAAGTGGCTGGTTCTGGCATGCCCTTGTGGTCTCAGAAGGTAGAGAAAGTTCTTGTCTACTTGTTAGCTCCTGGCAATAGGAAATTCTGCACAATTATAAGTAGAGATGGCAAATAGAACACAACTCTTCTATAGGTTTGAGGGGCCATTGCCTGGCCAGAGGCTGACATATAGAGGGTTCTGGAAAAGAAAAATGTTGAATAAATGAATGAATGACCTACTAGCTGATCTGGAGGCCTCACCGCACCATTGCTTTGTTAATGGTCTCTATCCCTCAATAACTTGTACTGTCATCGGTGGGGACAAGTTTGGGGACTTCCTTCCCTAATATATGTCAAAAGCATGTAAGTAATTATAATTTGGGCAAACACATTAATTCAAACTGAAAAACAGAGCAAATAGAGGAGTGAGATTGCCAAAGAGCCTTAGGCTGATTGGAGCTCACCCGAAGGACAGATAGAGGCTAGCACTGGAAGTCCCTGGACCAGTGGATATTCCGGATGAGTGGTTGCTCTGTTCAGTTTAGGACAATTCAACAGATACTTATTATGTGTGAGGCACCAGACATAGTATTAGGTCGTGGGACAACAAGGGGTCTGGAATTGAGGAAATAGGATATACTTACATTTAAACAGAATTTAGTCACATTTTAAATATTATGCTCAATATGCAATTCTTCAACTTCCTGAAAACTTTTTAGTTTAAGTACCTCTATATTTAAAGTAATAGGGTAATCTGAAAAAAAAAGTAAAATAAATACAAATGTTTTCCTCTCCAGATTTTTTGGACATTCTGTACTACGTAACAAATGGGCCTACCGCTTTAAACATACTGAGCAGACTGGTTCAAAATGTAAATAATATTCTACTTAAAAATATGCTAATCCTGTGGCCCCCAACTTTTCCAATAATACTAAACAAAATTTACATAGATTCCCGAGGACCTCCAATCTAACAGAAAAGAAGGACATAGAAAAAAATGATTACACAGACTATGCGCCATAATAGAGGAAACAGAAGAACAGAAGTGGCCTCCTGTAAGAGCAAGAGATTGTTGCTTTGGGGGGGGGGGATGTTAACCTAGGATTAGGAAATAATTCATAGGTGTGTGCTATCTGAACAGGGTCTGGAGCAATAAACAGGCATTTACTAAGGGAACAAGAGGGAAAAGAATTCCACGGAAAGGATGAGCATAATGCAAGAACACAAAGGCAGGAGACGGAGTTGTATGTACAGAGGACTGTAGCTAATTTGCTCAAAGTTCCAATGAGAGGCGGTGCATTATGTGACCAGCAGGCTGTTCTTGTGGATAGGGTAGAGCAGACTGACTTCTGAGTTGAGGCTAGTGGATATGCCCAGCTCATCCTCACATCCTCCTCCTCCCCACACCAGGAGATTATCCCTCATTTTTTTTTTTTCAGTTCTTTCTTCCCAGAAACCAAATTGACTTAGTTTCCTCCCTTCTTCTGTCCCAGCCCAACCAGTCAGAGAAAAATCATGTAATATTATGTTTGCCTCGTTAAGGAGTCAAATTGTATTGCATAGGGTTGATGGGGAATCAGCAAGTGGTTTTTAAATAAGGAAATAATTTGGTCACAGTTGAGAAAAAGCAGCAGTCCCCATGGTACTTGCACACCCTCTCAACATCCCTATGATTCAAGAGATTACAAAGGAAACTATTTTTTAAGAGGTCTTATTTAGTTATTTGAGACAGAGAGAAAGAGAGAGCATAAGCAGGGGTGGGGCGGGGGGAGACAGGGGCAAAGAATCTCAAGCAGACTCTACGGGGCTAGCTCTCAAGACCCTGGGATCATGATCTGAGCCGCAATCAAGAGTCAGACCCTTAACTGACTGAGCCACCCAGGTGCCCCAACGATTTTTTAAAAAAGAGTACAAGTTGGGTTGTTCTAAGCAAGCCCAAATCTATTTGTTTAATGACAGTGTAGGACTGTCCCTGCTCAGTGCTTGAGGCTGAGGATGGGAGGAATAGCAGGCAGCCCAGATATTTCTTCTTAGCCCTAGAACCCTTCTACTCTCCAAAACAAAGAAATCGCTCTAGACTAATTCATCATACTTTCTTCATTTACTTCCTTCTCCTTTTTTTTACTTCTCAAATGTCAACAATGGGCTAGATATGGCTGTGCAGGACAAGTAGAGGAATGGCAGCATTAAGATGGGGGGCATCCATTTGCTGCTTCTCCTCTTTAGGCCTCATGACAGCAGGGGGAGTTATTGGTAGTATGGAAAACAAAAACCCGGGGATCATCTGCAGGTCTTATTTTAGGAACTTGTTTTAGCCTTTTCTGTCACCAAACCTCTGTAGGTCCCCCCCCCCTTTTATTTTTAATATTAGAGTTGTCTTACCAGACATGTCTTAACATAAGCAGAAATGAAATAATTGAGTTTCACCTGGTTTCTCTCTCCCTCTGGGAGAGGAACTACAGCAGTCAAATTTCCAGAAGGCAGGCAATTAGAAGAGGAAGCTAAGGATAATCAAGATTTTACTGTACATTCATTGTAACTGTTAAATTATTTACATTCCTTGACTCCTCCTGGACTGAGCCTGTGTGGTTTGGGTGGTAGAAAGGACTTAGGGCAAGGAACCAGGAGGTGGCTCTCTGGATCTCATTCTGCAATTAATTAATCCTGTGTCTTCAGACAAATCATTTCTTTGAATCTGTTTTCCGATCAGGAAAATGAGGGAGTGTGATTATATCAGTGCTTCTCAAGTTCTGCTTTGCATCAGATTCACTCGAGGTGGTTCAAAAATATGCCGATTCCCAGATCCGACTGGAGGATGGAGTGTCATTGGTTGAGCCCGTGGACTTGGCATCAGAGTGGCTGGATTTAACCTCTGCCACTTACTTACCCCGGGTGACCTTGAGAAAGTCACTTCCGTTCTGCAATATCTCCTTTTTCTCGTTTTCAAGGCAGGGCTAACAACAATAACAGTACCTACGTTCTATTGTCCCTGGCAGGTTAAAATTATATGATGCTTTTCCTTATTTATTTTTTGATATAATGCTTTTAAAACAACAAGTATATATCACCTGTATCAAACTAAGCATTCAACAGATGGCATAGATCATCGCTTGTATAGCCCAGGGTACGTCTGTACGGTGTGTGTTTGCAGTGGCGGTGGGGAGTTGGTGTTGGGGTAGGTGCTCAGGAGTATCTGCGGAGTAAATAACGGAAGTAGACCTTAAATTCTTTTTTTTTTAAGCAACTCTTTCCTGTAGCCTCAAATCTGAAATTGTTCGTTAGCCCAGGAATCACCTTCCCAAGAAGGATAAAGAGAGTTGGAGGGCACTGTCGAGTGTTCTGCTCACTCTTTGCCCTCCCTATGCTTACTGCGAGCCTCACGATAATTAAAAAAATAATTAAATGATAGAAGTCCCACTAGAGGGGGTGCGCTGCGAGAGGCGGGGAGCAGCCTCCAGGGCCGCCGCCGCGTCGTCCGAGGACGGTCCGCGCCGCGTCTCGCCTGCCGCCCCGAGAGGCTCAAGTCACTGCCGTTGGGTTGGGCTGTTTCCTTCATCCCCCGCTTGGTGCTGTGGACGGGGCAGAAAACAGGGCCCGGCAACTTTCCGAGCGCCCGAGAAGCAGGGCCTGGCGGGCAGACGCAGCGCTAACTTGCAGCCCCGCGCCCCCGGCTCCCGGCTCCCGGCCCGGGGCGGCTCCCGCTCGGTGGGCCGCGCCTGGGCGGCGGGTGCGCAGCCTGCGGCTCCCCGGGCTTCCAGCGGGGCGGGGGGGGCCCGCCTCGGGATCCGCGGAGGTGGCCTCCTAGAAGGATCGCCGCGAGGGGAGGAGCCCTGATTGTCCGAGAAGAAAAGCATGGCCCCATCCGGGAAGCCGAGGCTTGCCGGGAGGCCGGGGCGGCGGCGCTGGGGCCCGGGGGCGGCGGCAGGCGGCGGGGCCCGGGCGTGCAAGAGCAAGAGCAGGAGCAGGAGCAAGAGCAAGAGCAAGAGCAGGAGCAGGAGCAAGAGCAAGTGCAAGGCGCCCCGACGGAGGCGCGCGCGAGGCTGCGACCCCTGCCCAGCGCGCGGGGCTCCCGAGCCGAGCCCGCCCCGGGGCCGCCCGGGATCCGCCGCAGCAGCGCCCTGGGCCTCGCCGGGCGCCGCAGCCCCTCCCCTCCCGAGCCCGCGCTTCCGCCCGAGCCCGGCGGCCGCCGCGACCGTGGCCGAGCCCCGCCGCCTCCCGGCCCGCTGCGCGCCGCGCCCACAGGCCGGGGGGGGGGCGGGGGGCAGGGCCTCGGAGCCCCGGGCGGCGGGAGGGGGAGGGGAGGGGAGGGGAGGGGGCGCCCGCGGCACCTGCGGCCGCTCGGCCACGCGGGCTCGGCCGTCCGCAGCGCGGGCAGCGGCCCGGGCCCATCCCCTGCCCTCCCGCCGCCGGGCCGTGGGGGCGCCGGGAGCTGCGGCTGGCCCGGCCCTGCCCCGCGGCCGCCCGGAAGACCCCCCGGCGGAGGGGCCCTCCCGCGGGCACCGAGTCTCCCTGGAAGGCGGCCCCTCCCTTCCCCCACGCACTGTCGTTCCTCTGGGTCTTGCCGCCTTCCCGAAAGGGGCCGCCGCGGGCGTGCACACGAGGGAGCAAGTCCAGACAGCGCGTGTGAGTGTGTGAGTGCGCGCGCGTGGCCGAGTGGTCGCAGGGTGGGAGAAAGTAAACACGCAAAAAAATGAGATCAGCCCGAGCCTGTGACAGTGAGGCCACGCGTCCCCAGGCCGCTGGCGGTGCGGGCGGCGTCCGGGGGCTCGAGCGCTGCACCGACGGGGCTCGGAGGGAGCGCGGCCGCAGGCCGGCGTCAGGGCCCGGAGGGCGGCTCGGGCTTCCAGGGGCCCCTTCTCAGGATCTGTCGTACTTCCTGGAGCCCGCCCGGGCGCTCCTGGCGGGGGCTGCAGTCGCCCCGCGCGTCGGGAGGCCCCTCCTGGCACGGCAGAGGCGGCTCCCCGGCTCCCCGGGGCGACGGTGGCCTTTGTCCCTTCTGCGGTGTCGCTGGGCTCTGCTCGGGGGCTAACGGGGGGGGGGGGCGGGCGGGGGCAGGTGCTCCGGGGGCCTGGGAGCCCGCGACGCCGAGCTCGGATGAACGCTCCCCGCGCTGAGGACCAGGGCTCCCCCGGAGGGGCAGATGGAAACCAACGGGCCGTCTCGCATCCGGACCCCGCCCGGCCCGCCTGCACCCCGCGCCCCGCGGCCGCGCAGGTCGGGTCCCCTCGCGGGGCCACAGCTGTCCCCGGGGCGAAGCCCCGCTGAGACGCGGCGGGCGGGCGGGCGGCGGAGCGGAGCGCGCAGAGCGGGCTGGGCGGGCTGGGCGGGCTGGGCGGGCGTCCCTTCGCCGCTGCGCAGTCCTGGAATATTCTCTGACGCGGGAGGGAGGCCTCTTCCCGGGGCCTCTGAGCGGACCGCGGGCTGCGGTTCTCCCGGCCGCCGACGGGGGGCAGCAGACGCCCTGCCAAGCCCCGGCGACCGCGCGGAGGCGCGTCCCCCGGTCCCCGGGGAGCCGGCGTCACCGAGCGAGCGGGGCCGAGGCGCGCCCCCCGCTGCCCCCGCGCCCCCCGCAGCCGCCCCGGGGCCGCGGCCTCCCCCCTGGACTCCGCTCCCCGGCGCGAGGAGCGAGCGAGGCTCTCCGCAGCGGGCAGCGCCTCGCGAACCGAGCGTGCAGCGTAGACGAGCGGACCCGGGTGTGCAGATGTCACGAGCCTTGAGGCGCGCGGGTGTTGGGAAGCGCCTCGGCATCTCCTGAAGCTCCGGGCCGCCAACGGAGGGTCTAAAACTACGGCCACCCTAATCTTTTGGGGGCGGCGATAGCTGTTAAGCCGGTCTGACTTTTTCTGCAAAGCCTGTCGTCGGCAGGTGGGAACTGCTGCGGCCCCCGGGCCGCCTCTTCGCTGCGGGGAGGACCCCGCGACCCCTGGGGGCGACCCCGGGTGGCCCCGCCCCGCCCCGCCCCGCCCCCCCGGGGCCCCGCCGCGCGCTCCACACCAGCAGAGTTTTCAGAATCGCCAGAGACGCTATAGACCTTCTCCCAGGACATGTGGTTTCAGAAATGAACAACTTCTACTTCTCTTCTTCTTCTTTCTTCTTCTTCTTCTTCTTCTTCTTCTTCTTCTTCTTCTTCTTCTTCTTCTTCTTCCTTCTTTCTTTTTTCTTTTCTTTTCTTCTTCTTCTTCTTCTTCTTCTTCTTCTTCTTCTTCCTTTTCTCCGCCTCCTTCTCCTTCTTTCTTCCTCCTTTCTTCTCCTTCATCTCCTTCTTCCTCTCTTTGTCCTTCTCTTTCTTCGTCTCCTCCTTCTCCTTCTTCCTCTCCTTGTCCTTGTCCTTCTCCTCCTTCTTCTCCCTCTCCTCCCTCTCCTTCTCCTTCTTCCTCTCCTCCTTCTCCTTCTTCCTCTCCTTGCCCTTGTCCTTCCTCCTCTCCTTCTCTCTCTCTCTCTCTTTTTTTTTTACTAAATTAAAAATACATTTGTAGAGCATTTTTTTTTTAAGAAAAGGAAAATAAAGTGTAAAAATGTAGCGGCTGACTAAGACAGTTATCTCTAAATATTTTATATTTTTTAGATTTGTGATTCATTAATTTATTTCTTCAAGATTTTATTTATTCGTTCATGCAGACAGAAAGAGAGAGGCAGAGACATAGGCAGAGGGAGAAGCAGGCTCCCTGTGGGGAGCCCCACGCAGCATTCTCAGCATTCGATCCCAGGATCCTGGAATCCTGCCCTGAGCCAAAGGCAGATGCTCAGCCTCTGAACCACCCAGGTGCCCTCTAAATATGTTTTTAAACCCAGGAGCAGATATGAAAATTCAGTTATCTGAATGAGAAAACCCATACAACTTACGCACAATTGAAAAACCCTAATTAATCCCTGAACTACCTTTGTGAAGTAGGGAGGAATTAGTTTTTAATTATAGAATTTATCATCATAACACAACACTAAGGTGTTTTCATTTTATTACTGTTATGAACAAAAGCTATTGTTAACTACTTTTAATGTATTTTTCCAATATTGTAACACTTTCTACAAATGCGGCCATAATTACTAAAGAAAGGAAGAATTTGAATAGCGACTGTCAGAAATTTCATTAACATGGGAAGTCCGTATCATGATGTTAGACTATAGAATCTCCCCCAAATAATGATGAATACTGATTAATTAGAATAAAATTGATAGGAAAATGCTAAACTTGTAAATTGAAGCGGCTGTGGAAGACTCAGAAGTGGAGAAGGAAAGGATTGATTTTGGTTCAGGTCGGGGAAAGAAAGTGGTTAAATCCAGGTCGATTTCCAAACTGGGTTCAAAATCCTATCTTAAGAGTAACCAGAGACCCAGCTGCTGCCTTGGATAGTCCAGCTGTCTAACCAGAGGACCGGCCCACCATGGGATCTGGAACACAGATAGTTCTTTGTGCCCGAAGATGGACTTGAACAATTTTAAATTTGCCTAAGACCAATACTGTTCGCCTTTAAATGTGTGTATTAAGCAATTGCACATTGCGTATAGAAAACAAGTTTTATTCCATGTTTGGAAGGTGGCAAAAATTGTACCAAGCCACAAAAAGTTTCTTTAAAAAAAAAAAAAAACGTTTGCCACAAATTGGCAATAATATGAAATATCGATAATCTCAACTTTTGAAGCAGTATATTGATGTGTAACACAACTTGGCTTATTTGCGTAATGCCGATTGGCTGTCACTTTGTGTGCCATGCAACAGCTCTATAAGGCAGATGTCATTAGCTCCATTTCACATGTAAGAAAACTGAGGTTCAAAGAGCTTAAGCTACTTGCCCCAGTTTACACAGTTATTAACTGGAAAGCAACTTCTGATTCTAGAGCCCAAAAGTTTTACAGGCTCTTGCCACGATCCCTGAATCCCTGACAGTGTATCCCTGTAGGGGACACATCTGGACTCCCCTGAACAAAAGCAGGTAAACTCATTTCTATCACAGTTTGAGTGACCAAAACCTAAATTAAAAAAAAAAAAAAAAAAAGCCCTGCATACCACAGAGAATCTCAATCTAGCGCTTCTCTATCACACAAGATTTATGGAGGTAGTTAACGGGATATTTTAAACCTATTTTAAAATTTTAAAAAATCTAAACAAATTACATGATTACTGCAGATAGATGGACTAAAATTCTGCTGGTTTTGCTATGCCTGTATTACATGAATACAGAGCTGCGTGGACAACGTAAAACAGGAAAATGAATTAACTGTTACTTAATAAATGTAGTTTATTGGCTAGACAATATCTTTACACTAGGTCCACGGAGGCTTGTAAAAATGTTAGCAATAAATATTAAAAAAGGAGACTTTGAACATGAAAAGGAACCACTGATACATGGTAAAATATAATACAGTTAGTTACTCTCTGTCTTAGTTGGTTATTATGCACTGCTACTTAATAGTAGGTCTCTGATAATAAAGGACTTCTGCTGCGTTGGGAAATTTAATATTGCATTTCTGCAAGTACAATACGTTGCTATGAGAAGAACACTAACATAAATTGGTCATATTTAAATAATCAACACCATTTATTTAGGGCCTCAAAGGATCGTGGGGAAGGCGTATGTTTGTAGGTAACAGGTAGCTGGTCTCAGAGCATGGGTTCCCGAGACCCTCCTGATAGCTGCCTTTCCTGTAGTCCAGCAATTCTCAAATATTTTGCCCTCAGGACCCCCAAAAGCTTTGGTTTATGTGGACTGCATTTATCCGTACTCATTGTATTAGGAATTGAAATTGGGGAAATGTTTAAACTTTTTATTTGTTACCAACTTATAAAAATGATCAGCCTATTACATATTAACACATTTGACATATTTTAATGAGAAATAATAATATTTCCCAAAACAGAAAAATTGAGAAAAATGTCTCCCATTTAGTAAATGTCCCTAAAAATCTAGCTGGACTTAATATCTAGTTGGCTCTGAGCAGCTAGATTTTCATATTTGCTTCCACATTCCATCTCTTGTGATTTGGTGTGTAGTTAGAAGTGCATGAAAAAAATCTGGCCTCAAAGAAATATGTAGTAAGAAAAGGGAGGAATAGTTTAGGAACTTTTTCAGATTATTGTGGATGTTCTTTGATATTACTCCCAAATTCTTCATGTGGTAATTTTTAAAAAGTTAGTGGCAGGGGCACCTGGGTGGTTCAGTCAGTTGGGCGTCTGCCTTCTGCTCTGGTCATGGTCCCAGAGGGCTGGGATCAAGCTTGCGGGAGCTCTCTGCTCAGCAGGGAGCCTGCTTCTTCCACTGCTTGCTGCTCTGCATGCTTGTTCTCTCTCTCTGTCGAATAAATAATAAAATTAAAAAAAAATTAGTTGCAATGTGGAGTTTAAATCCATATCAATATACTTTTCATATTCTGGTATCTTAAAACCGTTGGCCTATTGAATGAACCTTTCACCCAGGCATGATTTGTAACATCATGCACTGGTCCACTGAATTATGCGGATCTTTCAAATGTGGACTGATTTTTATCATACAATATCAAAAACTGTCCTATTCATTACTTTCATCACTGATTTTATCAGGAAAGATTTTTACATACAAGTTCTCTAAAATTCCAATTTTTGCTCGAAACTTCAAACTTTATCATTGGCAAGAAATAACTGATAGCTGTTTCCCTTGAAGTGACAGGCTTGCTTTATTTCTGAGAAAATATTTGCCAAATACTCAAGTCTGAATACCCATAGTCTGTCAGTTGTTCTTTCTTTCTTTCTTTTTTTTTTAAGATTTTATTTATTTATTTGACGGAGAAAGAGAGAGAGCTTAAGCAGAGGGAGTGACAGAGGGAAAAGGAGAAGCAGGCTCCCCTCTGACCAGGACCCCAGGATCATGACCTGAGCAGGAGGCAGACGCCTAACCGGCTGAGCCACCCAGGCACCCCATGTCAGTTGTTCTTTCAAAACAAAGGCTACTTTATGAAAAAAAGTGACTAGTTCAACTTGAAACTCGATTATACCAAAGCTTTTCCTCAAGACCACCATTGTACTTCTTTGTGCAGCGGAAACACTTTCTGGATCCCTCCCATTTAGTCTCAGAGAATATTACGAAGTCAATGGCCTAAAGGGTCAACATTGAATACAATTAATAATTTTCACTGCTTTATCAAAGGCATTCTTCAGTGGAAATGTCTCTTTTTCTTGGCCTCCCCTCACCTCCCCCTCCTCCTCTCCTCCTTCCTTCCCGTCCGGGTCCCTGTCCTTAACCTCTCTTTCCCCCCTCTTTGCTGCAGGTGTGTGGTGGTGAAGAATACAGAGACTCCTTTGATGCTATTGCCTTGCTTTGTACTGAGGCTACCACAGTTTTCCCCACCACTAGTGGTAACATCAACACAGTGAAAAAGGCAAATAATATCTTAACATCGTCAAGAAAATAGGTTTATCTTTATGGAATGCCTGAAATGACCACAGGGCCCCTCAGGGATCTGCAGACCCTACTTTGAGAACCACTGCTCTAGAGCAGTTGGTTTTTGAATCCCTCACTTTTGACTTAATCCTGTGCTGCCTTGTGTTGTTAGTTGTCTTCTGTCTACAAATCTAATCTCCTGATTAGGACCTCTCTCATTGATGTAGCTGTATCCTGACCACTGTCGAAATGCCTGGCATTCAGTACAATGAAAGTTTATTGATGTTTGATTGACACACTGGCAATAGTGCTTCATGCACGCACTTGTGTTATCGCAGACCACATCCTAGCTGGTTTTGATTTTTACTTATGATGCGAAGTGAGGATGATGATTTTGGGGGGGATACACTTATTCAGAGGAAGGAAAGGAGCATTTGTCAGGATATGTTCTAGTTTTTTCACAGAAAATTTCACTGGCAGCCACGTTCATGTGCTCGCCTGTGTTAGCAAGTACTGCCAGTACTCAGGGCATGACTTCACATAACCAGTGGGTGAGAATTCAAGTCCAGTCTGTGATGCATTTAAAATACTGCAATCCCTAGCACCACCAGAGGAATGGCTTCTAACAGTAAAG